CACATTTGGTACATTGCCCTTCTCTTCACCCAAATCACTACTTATTTCTACCTATCTAACAGTGTTCCCTACCCTACCCTCCCACCCCTGGTAACCAACAAAGAAAATTTCCTTCCATAGATAAACCATTCCTTGACTTTTACAATAACGGACTAAAACATTATTTGTCCTTCTGTGATTGAATTATTTCAGTCAGCATAATGTCCTCCAAGTTCATTCACATTGTGTGGTATTTTCCAGAGTCTACATTATTCTTTAGGGTTGTATAGTATTCCATTGTGTGTATGTACCACAGTTTGGTTATCCATTCCTCAATTGATGGACACCTAGATTGTTTCCAACTTTTTGCTATTGTAAATAGTGCTGCAGTGAACATGGGTGTGCATATGTCTATTCTTGTCATGGCTCTCACTTCTTTAGGATTATATACGTAGTACTGGAATGGCTGGATCAAATGGTATTTCTATTTCCAACTTTTTAAGGAATTGCCATAGTGCTTTCCACAGTGGTTGTACCATTTTACAGTCACACCAGCAGTGTATTAGAGTCCCAGTTTCTCCACATCTTCACCAGCATTTGTTAATTTCTGTCTTGTTGAACTTTGCTACTAGTGCTGGGGCAAGATGGTGTCTCGTTGTTTTGATTTGCATCTCTCTAATGGCTAATGATTGTGAGCATTTCTACATATGTTTGTTGGCCACCTGAATATCCTCCATGGTGAAGTGTCTATTCATGTCTTCTGCCCATTTTGTAATTGGATTATTTGTCTTTTTGTTATTGAGGGGTTGGAATTTTCTATAAATTCTAGAGATAAGTCCCTTGTCAGATATGTTGTTGTCAAATATTCTTGCCCAATCTGTAGGTTCTCTTTTGACTGTTTTGGAGAAGTCTTTGGAAGCACATAAAAATTTAATTTTTAGAAGGTCCCATTTGTCTAGTTTCTCTTCTGCTGTTTGTATATTTTGGGTTATGGTTGATAGTCTATTTATGCCATATATTAGGGCCACTAAATTTCCCCTAGTTTTTCGTTGAGGAACTCTATAGTTTTAGGTTTCACATTTAAGTCTTTGATCCATCTGGAGTTCGTTTTTGTGTATGGTGTGAGGTACAGATCTTGTTTCAATTCTCTGCAAATGGATCTCCAGTTTTGCCAGCATCATTTATTAAACAAACATTCTTTTCCCCATTTAATGGATTTAGGCCTTTTGTCAAAAATCAGCTGACCATAGGTTGATGGATCTCATTCTGGGTTCTCAATTCTATTCCATTGGTCTCTGTGTCTGTCATTATACCAATACCAGGCAGTTTTGACTACTGTGGCTGTATAGTAGATTTTGAGATCTGGCAATGTGAGACCTCCTACTTTGTTCTTCTTCTTTTGTAGTGCTTTGCTTATCCGGGGTCTCTCTTTCCATATAAAGTTAGTGATTGGTTTTTCCATATCCTTAGGAAATGTTGATGGGATCTGGATTGGGATTACATTGAATGTATAGATTGCTTTGGGTAGAATTGACATTTTCACAATGTTCAATCTTCCTATCCACGAGCGTGGGGTGTTCTTCCATTTATGTAGATCTCTTATGGTTTCTTGAAGTAGTTTTTTATAGTTTTCTTTGTAAAGGTCTTTTGTGTCCCTGGTAAGATTTAGTCCCAGGTATTTTATTTTATTTTTTGGTAGCTATTGTAAATGGTATTGATTTCCTTATTTCTTCTGCAGCAGTCTCTTTGGTGGTATAGAAGAATCCAACTGATTTTTGGATGTTGATCTTGTATCCTGCCATGATGCTAAATCTCTTAATTAGTTCCAGTAGATTTTTGACTGAGTCTCTTGGGTTTTTGTGGTATAGGATCATATCATCAACAAATAGGGAGAGTTTGACTTCTTCTTTACTAATTTGGATGTCTTTGATTTCCCTTTCTTGCCTTATGGGCCTGGCTAGGACTTCCAGTACAATGTTGAATAGGAGTGATAGAGGGCATCCTTGTCTGCTTCCTGTTTGCAGGGAGAATGGTTTCAGTCTCTCTCCATTACTGTGTTTCTCAACTTGTCCATTTCTTCTAGGTATTCAAATTTGTTGGAGTACAGTTCTTCATAGTATTGTTATTATCCTTTTTATTTCAGTTCATTCTGTTGTGAAATCACCTATTTCGTTTCTTATTCCTTTGATTTGCATATTTTCTTTTTTTCCCTTTGTTAAATTTGCCAGTGGTTTGTCAATGTTATTAACATTTTCAAAAAACGAACTTCTAGTCTTGTTGATTCTGTTGCTTTTCTCTTTATTTCTCCTCAAATATATACATTTTTTTCTTCTGATGACTCTAGGCTCTTTTATATTTCCCTAATTGTTGGTGCTATTGGTTTAAAGTGTTGATTTTGATACTTCTTTTTTGATATGTGCATGTATTGCTATAAATTACCCTCTCAACACTGCTTTTGCTGTCTCAAAGATTTTGTTTTGTTTTCATTCTCATTTGATTTAAAAAGTTTTTATTTTGTTTTTTACTCTAGTTTTTAAGCAGGATGTTATTCAGTTTCTGTGTATTTGATATTTTTTCCTTGATCTTCCTATTGTTGCTTTCTGATTTTATAGCACTGTTATCTGAAAACAAGTGTAGTATTTCAGTATTTTAAAACTTAGTAGACTTGTGTTATGGCTTAACTTATGGTCTGTTCTGCAGAGTGCTCCATGCGCACTTTAAAGGAAAGTATATTGTGCTGCTGTTGAATGTTCAAAATTAAAAAGTTTTGTACTACTAAGGCCATTATCAAGAAAGTGAAAGAGTAAATATTTGCAAATTATATATCTGATAAAGCTATCGTGTCTAGAATATATATATAAAGGACTCTTACTATTCAATAATAAAAAAGACAAGTAACCCTGTTAGAAATTGGGCAAAGAATCTGAGTAGACATTTCTCCAGAGAAGACATATAGATGTCAGTGGGCATGTGAAAAGGTGTTTGAGATCATTATTCCTCACGTTAATGCAAATCAAAACCACTGTCAGATATCTGTTCACATTCCTTAAGTTGGTATAATAAAAAGATCAGATAATAAAGTGTTGCAGAGAAATGGAAACCTTCATACACTGGTATCAGGCATATAAAATGCTGTAACCACTTTGGAAAGCAATCTGGCAGTTCCTCAAATGGTTAAACATCTTCTTGTTGTTAGGTGCCATCATTTAGTTTCTGATCATAGTGACCCTGTGTACAACAGAAAAAACACTGCCTAGTTCTGTGCCATCCTCAGTCATTACTATGTTTGTGCCACAGTGTCATTCCATATCATTGAGTGTCTTCCTCTTTTTGCTGACCTTCTACTTTACCTAGTATAATGTGCTTCTCTAGGGACTGATCCTTACTGGTAACACATCTAAAGTACATGAGACAAAGTCCTCACTTCTAAAGAGCATTGCAGTTATACTTATTTGTTTGTTCTTCTGGCAGTCCATGGTATATTCAGTATTCTTCACCAACACTATAATCTAAATGCATCATTTCTTCTTTAGTCTTATTTGTTGTCCAGCTTTTGTGTGCATGTGAGGTGATTGAAAAGTACCATGGCTAGAATCAGGTGCACCTTAGTCTTCCAAGTGATGTCTTTGCTTTTCAACACCTTAAAGAGGTCTTTTACAGTAGATTTGCCCAATGCAGTGCTTCATATGATTTCATTTCTGCTACTACCATGGGCATTGATTGTTTATCCATATAAAATCATTAAACACAGATTGACTGTATGACACAGAAATTCCACTCCTAGGTATATATCCAAGGAGCTCTGGTAGTATTGTGCCTAAGACACTTGACTGCTAACTAGAAGGCTGACAGTTCAAACCCACCAGCCACTCCTCAGAAGGAAGGTTGGGCAATCTCCTTCCATAGTGATGCTGCCTCAGAAACCCAAGAAGGGGTCTATATGACTCAGGTCTGACTCAATGGCACATAACAACAACAACAACAGATATATACCCAAGAGAAATGAAAATGTATATCCACATAAAAACTTGTACATGAATGTTTATGACAGCATTATTCATAATAACCAAAAGGTAGAAACACTCAAATGCTCATCACCTGATGAATAAATAGATGAAGGAAATTTGGTATAGCAATACAATGGAATATTATATGTCAGTAAAAAAAGGAATGAAGTACTGATACATGCTACAACAAGACTAAACCCTGAAAGCATTATGCTAAGTCATAGAAACTAGTCACAAACAGCCACGTTTTATATAATTGTATTTATAGGCATGTCCAGAATAGGTAAATCTGTATAGACAAAACACAGATTAATGGATGCCAGGAGCTGAGAAGGAGGGAATATGTGATGGAGGGAAGGGGACATATGAAGTGACTGCTAATGGTTATGGAATTTCTTTTTGATGTGATGAAAATATTCTAAAATGACTACCATAATGAGTGCATATATCTGAATATACTGTAAAATCATTGAGTTGTACATTTTACATGGATACATGAATTATATCTCAATAAAGCTGTTTAATGAAAAAATGGGTAGGAGAAGACCTGTTAGGTAGCTGTTGCAGGAAACCTCCTGGGAAGTTATGTGATGATGGAGAGTAGACAAATTTGAGATTTATTTTGACACTAAATCCATAAGACTTATTAATGGATATTATGTGAGGGACAGTGAGAAACCAACAAAGATTCCTACTGTTTTGACTTGAACAATGTGTTTATTATTGGTGGTTCCATTTAGTGAGTTTAGGTACAGGGACACAGAACTTATTAAAAACTGGAGAATGAAGCAAGAGCAGAAATTTTTTAAGTGATCATTCCAGATTTAAGGTAGAAAGGGTACTGAGATTGAGATGTACATGTTAATTTACTGGACTGGTAGAGGAAATGTGAGGAGAAATAGACACTCTCCTTCCCTCACCCCACCTTAACCCCAGTCTGGACATCACTTTGTGTGGATTTATTGCTTTGGTTAATCTAATGTCTGTATTTGTTTTTTGTTTTTGTTTTTTTAGGTAACCCAGGTTTTATTTCCTTTTATTTGCCATTTGCAAAGACTTTGTACTCACTGATAAACAGACGTTTTCCAGTTTGGATTATCAGTCATGCTGGGCATTCCATCGTTCCCAAAGACAAAAAGATTCTTGTAGCTTCAGATGGTATGTCCTTCCTAATGTTTGCTTTCCTTTGCAAAGACTTGGTATTTATTTTTTTACAAATACTGCTAAGATAAAGAGTTAACACTAATGGAAACCTCTATTTGTGGCATTAAGGCCCTACTGCCATGTTTTGATTAATATTTGTGTTTTTAGAAACATTTTAATTTTCAGAGTAATTTTCTATAAGAATTTGGGCAAATCATCCAATCTGTTTATGACTTGCCTTTTCTTTTTACCAATTTGTAATAAACTGTGTATTTCCAGGATTGTACTAGGAGGAATGGGGGTGAAAAAATAATATAAACCATGGTCCTCTACTCTAAAGAAGCTCACAATGTCAACATTTAGAGAATGATCAAGTGACTAACTGGACTGCTGAGCATGTGGACACTTACAGAATGAACACAGGAAGGAACACAGTATAGGTTAGAAAAGACTTTGTGGGTTAGGTAGGTTTTGACAATTGAATAGGATTTTCATTTGAAGATGGGGTAGCTAGAGATGTATTGTTGTATTGAATTGTACATTTTACATGGATAAATTATATGATATATGAATTATATCTCAATAAAGTTGTTAAATGAAAAAACGGATAGGAGAAGACCTGTTAGGTAGCTGTTTCAAGAAACTTCCTGGGAAGCTTTGTGATAATGGAGAGTAGACAAATTTCAGATTTATTTTGAAACTAAATCAGTAAGACTTATTGATGGATATTATGTGAGGGACAGGTAGGAGTAGCATGGCAGGTAGAGAGATTTGGTATGTTTGATCTTTGAGGGCAGAATGGGAGGAATCTTGAAAGCTGACAGAGAGCCAGCACTCTGTTTGGTAAATAACTGAAAGCCTTTAAATAGAGGAAGTGGTACAGAGTTACCCATTTAACTTTTGAGAATTCTACCATGTTCACACTTGCAAAAAATAAGAAAATGAGGGGAAATAAGAGAAAAATAAATTCTGTAGGCATTCCATTCAAAAACCTTTTATTAGAAGGGGTGCCCTTTAGTGGATGTGAAGGAGCTCTACTGGCATTGTAGGTAAAGCATTTGGGCTGTTAACCAGAAAGTTGGTGGTTCAAATTCACCAGCTGTGCTCTGCAGGAGGAAAATGAGGCAATTTACTTCTGTAAAGATTACAGCCTTGGAAACCCTGTAGGGGTTGCCATGAGTTGGAATTGACTTTCCGACTCCTTTTCTGGTTTGCTTTTAGTCTGATGTGCTTCTCCTGTGGTATCTTATACTTAATGAGCTTCCAAGTTTTAAACATACAGTGCTGTAAGTTTATGTTTTGCTTGCACTCCTTGTAACTGTGTATCCATTATTCATTTAGACACAGAGGTACAAGTTCAAATATACAAAAATCAGTGCTCTGTGGGTGATTTAAATGATATTAAGGCTTATTTTGATTATATTTTGTTTTGATTTCAAATACTTTGACTTTTGCCTCTGAATCAGATGCAGTTTTTTTGTTTTGTTTTGTTTTAAAATTTGAATACAATAGCAATATATATGATTACATATGTGTCCTCTTCTAGACACCCTCTAAAGATTACTTTAAATTGTTATTCATTTGGGTAAGTTCTTTGCAGGTCAGATAAACCGAATTAATTTACTAAGTTAAATCTAGTGTCATCCTTATTTTTTTAGAGCTGAGATTTAGCTCCAAGAAGTAATTCATAATTTATTTATTTTCAGACTAATAGCTAATAATTCCCTTTATTGTGTTTTTATATTAATAAGCTATACATGCTTATTGTAAAACATTTCAGATAATACAGAAAAGTTTAAATAAGGAAGTAAAAATCAGTGTCCCATAATTTAAGGTTGAAAAGGAGTGCTAAAACTTAATACCTTCTTGTTTAAATTGCACTTAAACATTTTCAACTTCAAACCAAAAAATCATTAACACTTTGCCCCTGGGAGCTGAGATATCCTAATACTTTCAATACCTTGTACAATAGCAGAGTTTGGGGCAAGGCTAAAGTAAGCATCTGACTTACTGAATTGTAGCACCAAGAAGTATGTTTTTATTTCAATTATTTTTTTTTTCTTCTGACAGTGTCATGATAAAGTGTGTAGCTTAAACCTTAGTGAAATAATTACACTTAGATTCTGAGGTTTTTGAGGTTCCCCCACCCCCACCCCATTTTTTTCTTTCTCATTACCTGTTCAAAAGTTTTAATTGACTTGTATTAAACACCAAGAACACTTTATGAGAAATGATGTGGAAAACAAATACTGAGATTTAAAAATAACACAATATTTATATTTAGTTTTTAACTGGATTGGGAATGTTAAGTATCGACATTTCAGATTTAGTCATAAGAGCTCTGGTAGCATAGTACTTGAGGCATTTGACTGGTAACCAGAAGGCTGGTGGTTCAGTCCCACCAGCCACTCCTCAGAGGGAAGGTGGGCAATCCACCTCCATAGTGATACCACCTTGGAAACCCGGGGGGGGGGTCACTATGAGTCAGATCCGACTCCACGGCAGTGCATTACGTTTGCATTATTAATCCGCATAAACATGTAACATTGTACCTGAGCAATACCAAAATAAAAGTTCGTAAGATGTTTTCACTAAATGTTTATTCAAGTTTTACTCTCTGTCTTTGGTTCATCCTCGAAAGTCTCTCTTGGGAGTTCTTAGAAGCTGGTCCTTTGAAAAGTTGATCCTGTTGAATAGTCAAGAGAAAGTGTCCAAAGTAGCATTTCTTCCATGTTCATGAACATCTGTAGGTATGCTAAATAGGTTACAAAAATTGGCATGTAAGCTGACCAATTGAGATTGTTTTAAGTGTAAAGTAAGATGTAACAAAATGAAATGGAAACTGAATTATTTCTTTGGTTCATATATAAGAATTTCTTTATTTGAAGAAGTAGATGACAAAAGATGATTTATATTTTTATCTTTATGCCATTTTTGGCTATTAACTCAAACGCATGGTCATTTATATAGTTATTGCAGAATTTAGGAAACAAATTACCTTCTTGTACACAGAGTAGATACTGTTTGGTTCTGTTGGTATGGAATGTGGTTCTCTCTTTTTTTTACTTCTTGAAGCCGTAGCTCAAACTTTGTGTTCTTGCACTGTGAATATTATAGCTCCCTGATTCATGTCCTTTCCTGACTGCAAAAAAACAAACAAACAAACTCATTGCAGTCGGGTCGATTCAACTCATAGCAACCCCTCCTTGGGTTTCCGGGGCAATAGCTCTATGGAAGTAGATTGCCCAATCTTCCTTCCAAGGAGTGGCTGATGGGTTTGAACTGCCAGCCTTCTGGTTAACAGTCAAATGCCTTAGACATTATGCTACCAGAGCACCTTCCTGATTGTACTTATTCAGTTCTTCATTTTTGAGTACCTACTATGGACTTATCTCTTGCCTAGCACTTAGAAAGAAGTACAACTATGTTTAAAAGACAACTGCCACGTTTTCATTTTTGGTAGTCAGGTAAAGCTGTCACCTCCCACTAGCTTCCTGTGTTTTCCTGTTTAAGGCATTACATGTAAGATTGCCCTTCTTTAGGCAAGCTGTCTACACCTCTGCAAAAACAATTTCTAGTTTCCACTCTGTGTCAGTTTTCAAATCAATTAGACATTGGCCTGGTGCTTTAAGCACTCACATTTCTTATACTACCACTTCCACCTATTTTTTTTTTTAATTTTTCTTACTTCCCTAATTGTCTTACAAAACAGCTCTGGTGGTGTAGGGGTGAAAGCATTCAGCTGCTAACCAAAAGGTTGGCGGTTCAAACTCACTAGCTGTTCTGTGGGAGAAAGATGAGGCTATCTGCTTCCATAAAGATTTACAACCCTATGGGGGCAGTTCTGTACTACCCTATAGGGTTGCTATTTGTCGGAATGGACCTGATGGCAGTGGGTTTGGTTTGTGTTCTAATTGTCTTACATTTATTATCATAGAATTTCACAGCTAAAGATTTCTACTTCAAATCCCATCTTGAGCTCTTATTTTTCAAGGCAGGAAACTAAGGCCTAGAAAGGTTAAATGGCTTTCCAGAGTCACACAACTAGTGAGTGGCAGAACTGAGACTAAACCCAGTAATTTTGATATTTAGTTAAGTGTTCTTGCCCTGTTGATAGGTCATCTTAGTTGGCTACTATAAAATTCTAGAGTCCAGGTTTTTAGGTTTAATTATTGTATCACATAATCCTCAGATTAGCCCTTGCACAATGGTAGGTTTTTCCCTGGTCTGTGGCCCTTTTCCTGCTGAGCCTCATAAGGGGGGACAAGGTAAATGGAATGTGGATGGAACAATGCAATTTGCATAAATACCTCAAAGTGTTTCTTTTGGTAGTATGTCTCAGTCTATCTGTTCTGTATATGTGTGTGTGTGTATGTGTATTCCTCCATGATGAATTTGAGAGCTGTTTTATGCTTTGTTTTAAGGCTCAGGTATACTTTGAAAGGTAAATGTATTGATAACCTAGGAGTAAAATGTTTTAAGAACAATAGTGAAGTGAAACTGAATAGATAGATTTGATTGCCATGATTAAAATCATCTATTTCAGCAACTATCCATATGGAAATGTAACTGAAAGTGAAAAAAATGTATCACAAATACTTATTTTGCTGTGAAATGTTTAAAAGGCACTTCTTTTTTTTTGTTTTAAGTTTATTTTTGCATAAATGCCCTGAGAAATTTGGGGGATTAAGCCCATAGCTTTTCCTTTGTAAGGAAACATGTATGTCTGCTCAGAATGTGATTGTGCTACATTATCTTGTGCTTAGAAAACAGAGGTGCTGAAATAATTCTTAGCGGAAACTGGCTTGTTTAACATGCTAAGCTTCCAAAACTGCCAGCTGCCCTGGCCTGTTTTCTAAACACTAGTAAGAGAGAGATAAGATAAAGACTGAGGGAGCTAGGAAGTAGTGGGAATACCAGCAGGGTACTCAGTGAAGGATAACATTTTTGTCATGTTCAAGATTCTTAATATTGAGTAACTAAGGTGTCTTATTCTTAAAGTTTCACCTTGGTAA